GTGGGTTAAAGCACTGCACTAAAAAGCTTAAGCCACCTCCTCATGATTTCGATCCCCGCCTGCCTGGGAGGAGACCACATGGCGTGGCAGACCTCTCCTGACCCGTCCACTGCTCCCCTCAGCAGTGTACTTCGTTGATCTGCCTGTTCTGCTCCCCACTCTGTCCCTGATAAATCCTCTCACCCTCTGCATCTCTAGCCTGTACCCCAGTTCTGTATGAATAAATAAATAAATCTTTAAAAAAAAAATCCTTGTAACTCCTACCTGGTTTCTAATGTAACCCGCCACCATTTTATAGAAAGCCCAAGTTGCTTGAACAGCCTCAAATGAACTTCTAGGCAATGGCCAGCAATAACAGCCAGCAAAACCACCAGCTACCTGTGTGAGCCATCTTAGACCATCAGCCCCATCAAGACCTCAGATGGCTGAATCCCCAAACTATATGGGGCTGCAAAAGCAGGGATCTCCGATGAAGGTGGTCTCAGCATGTGGCTTTGGGTATAGCTGTCAGTCCACAAACCATATGAGGTAACGAGCCAGTTGTTTTAATGAATTGATTTGGGGCACGTTGTCATACAATGAAGATGACCAGGACATTAGTTTAAGACTCTCAACTCAAGTTCAGACTATCAGGGCTTTTTTATTATTATTTCTAGGGAAAATAACATAACAGAGGCCAAGGGACTCTTGTTTACTGGTATTCTAGCTTCACTAAAATGTTTCTGACATGCTTACGGAAATAGCTCAACTTTAATTCCTCACATTTCAGTTGTTTTGAACTCTTTTACCAAATCAAGATATGAGTTATACAAAGGTATAGATTCTTGTTCAATCTCTTCATAGAATGAGAGAAAAAGATTTCCAAGATTTTCAAAATCCATCCCAAAACATGGGATTATCATTTGCCTCTCCTTCAAATCTCAGTTGTCTTGAAGTGGGTCATATTCCTCCAAAAATATATATACAAGTTAAAAACACTACCATATCTGGCATTTCTTTGCCTGGACTTGCAAAAAAAAACAACCATACAGTTCCTTAACCAAGTTTTTACTAAAATTAATGGGCCCTCCCTGGTG